AAAAAAAAAAAAAAAAATTCAACTGTCAAACTGACCTCCATAAGAAAACAAGCCCATGCAATCCGAATGATAATTGTTGCGTGTCAAAAGCTCTAAACTGCTCGAATTAATAGCAGTTGCCCTTGCAATTACTTCACACTCCTCCCAATTTGGTTCCCCAACAAGAAAAACGGAATTCAACTCGTTCGAGTTTTTCAAGGCATGAGAATTATGATTATCTACTCCGAAACATCCACGGCACGTGTAATTTCGAATGAAACCAGAACCAAGGCACGGATGCTTGACTTGAAACATACCATTAAAATTTTCCCCCAGTGCTCGAGTATGGCTTAGCATAACTACCGTCCGATCAAAACCTTCAATCAAACCAAAAGCTGGTAAAGAATACGCCACAATATCGTGCTCAAAAGGACCAATTTTCGATCTAAAACCATGCTCGTCCCCAGTTGGAGAATCTACTTCAGCCACGACCTGCAGTGACGAGCCTCCTAAATCGAGAAGTCCCAAAGTGGATGATAAACTCGATGAACTCTGAAAATGGCCCATTTTGTAATTTAATGCAACCCAACCATAGTAAGCCTCTTCTTTGCCACTCAAAACCCTTATCCAATTTTTCCTATACATAAACCCGTGCCTTTGAACTACATTTTCGACATTCTGCAAAATTTGACGAGTTTCGTCAGGCAATAAACTCCTCATTCCAGCAGTGGCTAAAACAAATATTGGTGTTTTATAATGCCTGTCTAAAGGGACCCGTTTTTCTGCATACCTAATCAACGGCTCTAAAGAGGCTCTCACGCCCGATTCATCATCGACGAAATTATGCAAACCGGGCTCGGTTTGCATGCAGTGGTACTCACAGCCGTTGCTCTTATTCACGCTATCCGGATAACTATGCAGTAAAACGGGTAAACTCTCGTGAGTTTTACTTTTATCACTAATCATCCATTTAAACACATTTACTCTAGAGCCTGTACTTCCACAGTCTAAAACAACACTGAAATATGTGCTCATATACTCCTCAGACATCAAAATTCGTGGTTTGAGAATGAAATAACAACAGCCAATTAGTCCTGAAATCAGAACGATCAATACGAAAGCTACGACAAACTTGCGATATCTAGCGTTGTGTGAAAAAGTAAAACCCACATTTTGAAGCTTCGATTTTGAAGGCGATTTTTTCTCCATAACCCAAAAAAAAAAAAAAAACCTCAATTGCATAAACCGAACCCAAATGCATCTACCAAATTGTGAAATTTCTTCTTCAATTTCTAAAATCTGCTGGCAGCACAACAAGCCATAGCATGAAATCTGAGAAGGCAATAGCTAAAGACAACGTTTGTAAATGTAAATCAACTCAGATCGGACCTGGAAATGAGTCGTTTTTTCAGAATTCTAATCAATTAACAGACAATCTCGAAAACGTAAGCCGGAAAAGCGTTCGAAGATATGCCGACGAACCTTTCCGGCACCGAAAAAGCCGACGAGAGATCTGCAGATAGATCTGGTGCCTCCAGGGTTGAATACAGAGTATACAATTTACGATTGTATAAAAAAGACAAGATTTTTAGCTGTAGACTGTAGGTCTTTGGTGTTTTGGTTGGTTTTTTATAATAGTTTTTAACTATATTATGTAACTCGAAATAGGATATTTCACTATAAATTTAAAGCAGCTGAATTAATAATACGTATAATCTAAATAATTATGCAATATCCTCAATTTCATTTGGCATATTTGTTGGGAAAAATACGCTGAAATTTCCATGAAGTCGGATCTATAAAAGTGAAATAAAAACGAAAAATTGGACACACCAAATTGATAACGGAGTTCGGCCAATAATGCCTACGTCTCCGGACTACTGCAGATATTTTATTACGAGAAAAGAAAACACTCGTGTTTACAAAACACTCACAAACTCACTCACAACTCACAACTCAAAAATACACACAAAAGCTGAAACTGCTCCCTCTCTTTTTCTCTCTTGATCTCTGTATTTTTTTTCTGTTGTGTTGGTGTGTCTTCGTTCATCAAATGCTCAGCTATTTATAGAAGAAAGAGTACACCTATTTTTTTCACATTTGTGTACTGATTAATGTGAACAAAGAAGCCTAGCTGATGCTTCTCTTCTTTTTCTTCCTTGGCTGATTCAAAGAAAGGCTGCATTTTTTTTTTTTATTCTTTTTGTTGCTTTCAAAATGAGGGGGCGCAGCCCATTTTGACTTCACAATCTCCCACTTGAGGACTGATTTCAATCTGTCCTCACACCTCAAATA